TAAACGACGGGCTGTAGCCCGGTGGGAAGCCCGACAATACTTTTTGGATTGAATTTGGATTTTTCTCTTTTCGCGCCGTGCCCGCGCGCGCATTCCGCGACAAGCAAAAGCAATCGACTTGCTTCATTGGACCAACACGGAGGATTTCAGTTCCATCTGTGTCCCCACACTCAATTTCCAAAAATCCTTGGCACACCCCATCTTGTTGTTTTTCTGGGCCTCTTTCCGCACGCCTAACACTCCGAACGAAAGACAGCACAGGGCGTGAGGTTGGTATCGGAGCCGACATGTGTCGGTTCTGATGATAGTAAGTCGAACTGGCGAGAGCTAGGAGAGACCCTTAACTAGCGCGTCGGGATCGCCCAGTGACCAGGTCTCGGTCTGGTGCGGCTGCACCCGCAATACCAATGGTGGACGGTAGTAGGGTGATCGTTAGCATCCCCGCCCCCTTCCCTTTTTTCCCTAACCATACCCATCCCGAGGCTTGGCTGGAAGCTGTCGAAGCTCAAAACTACAGCGCAGCCGATCTTCCCCGCGTTCTGACGTTCCTACTTCGCAATACGACGCATGACTGGTTAAGAAAACATACGTGGGTAGATTGGGATACTTTCAAACAAGCCTTCTTGGCTCGATTTGATACGGTCAGTGAAGATGCCGCTTGGTATGTGCTTAAAAATCGGCCACAAGGACCCGGGGAATTGTTGCCCGATTTCGTGGATCGATTTCAAACCACGTTGGACAAATCTGGGCGAGACGAGAAATCCGTTCGAGATTTGTTCATCGATCACCTACGAAGTCCCACGTTGAAAGGGAAACTGCAGAAAAAAGTCCCACCGAAGACACACCAGCTCCCCGCTATCATCGCAAAAGCACTGGAACTGGACATGGCGGATACAAAAAAATATATCAGCCAGGGAGACGAAGATATTACCGATACCATACAGGATGTAGCGGCAAAAAGGCTATCATGGCTGCAGGCGGTAGAACGGTTTTATCCCCGCCTCGACCATGACCTTCCCGATGGGGTTGCTTCCGATATCCCGCCTGTCTCTTCTCCCTCTCCCCCTGTGAATCAAGAGCAGCGTCCACCATGAATCCCCCACGCCAGCCGTAACCAACTTACATCTTGCCCAAATGATCCATACGGCCACTACTAAGCAGTCCGAATGGATGAGCAACTTGATCCAAATGCAGGCCGCTCATATGGAGCGGATGGAACAGAGAATGAGCAGACTAATTAAGCCTAACCCGGCCCCTGCTCGGACTGCCCCTGCATCATTTCCGCTCTTGCCTGCCCCGCCTGCTCAAGGGTACGCACCTCAATTCCCTCACCTAGCTAATCCAGCAGGAAAGATCGAGTGTTTTAACTGCAAACAGCCCAGACATTTCGCCCGAGACTGCCCACAGCCAAAGCGTAGTCAGCCCCCACCTGCGGCGGCCCCTATGGCCCTGAATCAAGGACGAGTGGCCGCACTAATGGATTCGGCCCAAGGAGGGGAACTCGTGGCATATGCCCCAGAGCAGCCTTCCCCTTCGACGACCATGGCGTCGACATCAGGAGCTTCCTCCTCTGACGCTGCTGACGTGGTCGATCCACTCGAATACCTTCATCTTGCAGGTGTGGTCGGAGCGATCCAATCGGCCCCTGATGATCTCGAATGGGTCGATCGCGAATCCAATCCTGGTCCGCAGTTTCGAACAGGAGAGATTGATGTGTTACGAGCGCTCAAACAATTGGATATTCGTGTTCCGATCCTGGTGGGACATCTGCTCACCATATCTGAAGCGGCGAACGATAAACTTTTACAACATTGCCAGAAAAATCAAAAGCGCTTCACCTATCAGCACTTACAACGGATGTTAAAGAAGAAGGAAGGAAGCGAGGAAGGTGTACAGCCCGAACTCGAAGCCGGTGAACCTGAGGCTGCACGAATAACAGCGATCGCTTTAGCCGAAAAATATCACTTCGTACGAGCTCGACCGATACTATAGAAGAGCGCGGAATGTGATTGCGAAGTTTGGGGCAAGCCGTTTAACGCTCTTATCGACACGGGGTCTTCTGCAGTAGCCATATCATTAGATACTGTCAGAAAGACGGGACGACTCGGGTCCATTCTTCCTCAATCTGACAAAGACAATTATGTCTCCGCCGACGAAAAAGCAATGAATATCGTAGGCATTATTGAGAATGTGGCTGTAAAAGTCGGACAAATATACGTCCTTGTCAATGCGCTCGTGATAGATGTACGTTCCTATTCTGTGTTGTTGGGACTACCTTGGGCGATGGCGGTGGGCGCACGATTGCATTTCGATTCAAAACAACTGGTGCTCACTCAAACTGGGGGGAAAGCCTCAAACTGTTCCTTTGCGAATTTCCACCCGAACGATAAAACGAACCCCTAACTCGACCCAAATAGGGATGATTCGATACATTAATCCCGAGGAGTGTTCTTCCTCATATATCGATAGTAGAATCAGGGAACAGGAATACGAAGAAGAGCTGCCTCGCGAAGACGAATGGAAGCACCTGGTTGAACTTTTCGAACACGAAATTCCCGAAGAATTCCAAGTGTGCCCCGACCCTGCCCGAAGCTTCCACGTGGATTCAGGAGACAGCGCGCTTGCGCCTCCGATAACCCCAGTTAATCCTTCAGTCCTGCTTGGGGAACCCATATTACAAGTATCTGACCTGGCCAATGATTTGGAACCCCTCGCACCTTGTACGAAGGAGCTCTCTCCTTACGAACGCGTTATCAGCAAACAGAACAGTATTTGGATGTTTCTGTTTTTCCGCCCAGATCATTACTAACGACAGGAGTCACCATCGCTTTGATTAAACAGGAGGCGGAAGCACCGGTAAGTGATGTACCTGATCTGATGCAAGAAATGACGGATCTAACGGGGCTAACTGTGGAACCGGCCTCGGTTGGTTCGGAGACTGATGCTAAAACTAAAGAAACGGAGATGATCAGCCCCGCTGAGTCCCAGATGATAGCAACTGTCTTCTCTGTTCACACCAGTAGTTCTGTTTTCTCTAGTGTCTACGATCGACGGGAACGGCCGGTTGATTGGGTCGATATGCCCCTTAAGATTTTCGGGGAATCAACAATCACCCTACCGAGTCACGTTCCCGCGGAACTTCGGAAGTCGTTAATCTGTGTGTTAAATGGTTACGCAGAAGTATTGAGCATACACGATAATGACATCGGCTTAACTAATGTGATCGAGCATGCCATTCTCACGGGAGACCATCCACCCATTAGCTGTGTTCCTTACCGATACTCGCCAGCTCAACGAGCGACCGCTTTTCAGCGGATTAAAGAATTTGAAGCTAATGGATGGATCGAACCCGCCATAGGTCCCTGGTCTTTTCCCGTAGTAATCGTGCCTAAAAAGGCCGGAGGGATTTACATTTGCATTGATTATCGAAAGTTGAATGATATCACGATCAAAGATGTGTACCCCCTCCCCCGAATTGATGAGTTGTTGGATGCGATTAGGAGTGCTCGATTTTTCAGCAAGTTTGATGTTCGCCATGGGTTCCATCATCTTCTTGTTCGAGAAGAAGATCGTCCGAAAAAACGTTTGTACTTTTCAAGGGTGCGTGGCAGTGGATTCGATGTCCGATGGGTATCTGCAACGCCCCCGCGACCTTTCAGCGGGCCATGAACATGGCTTTTCAGAATTTCGTGAGAAAGACTCGTTTGGCGCAGAGCATCATCAACTACTGCGTGATTGTGTACATGGATGATATCTTGGTGTATTCGAGTTCCTACGAGGGACACGTGCAGCACATCGAATGGGCACTGCACGCGTTACGAGATGCGGGCTTCAAGGTGGCGCTTGAGAAGTGTCAGTGTTTCCTCACCACCATTTCCTTCCTAGGGCACGTGGTGACAGACAAGGGACTCTAGCCGGAGGCGCAGAAGGTGGCAGCTGTCAGGGATGCGCCGGTGCTTACAACTATCATACAAGTTTGCGCCTTTCTGGGCCTGGCCACGTACTACCGAAGATTTATCAAGGGCTTCGCGGCGATTGAGGGACCCCTCACAAATCCGCTGCGCAAAGATCAGCCGTTGATCTGGACGTTGGAATGCGATCAAGCGTTTTCCAAACTCAAGGCCGCTCTCATTTCGGCTCCGGTCCTTATAAGAGAAAAGCCTTTTGTTCTCATCACTGACTGGCAGCCAGAGGCAATTTCGGCGATCCTTGCCCAAGTGGGACCAAGCGAACTCGAGAGTGTGGTGGAGTATGCGTCCAAATCGGTGCCCGCTTGCAAGCGCAACTACGCCGCTCCAACGGGGGAATGCCACGCGGCTTTCTGGGGAATCAGCCACTTTCGCGCTTACCTATACGGGCAAAAGTTCACCTTGGTAACTGATCATGAGCCCCTGTTGGCTCTGAAGAAATCGAAGGATTACTCGGGCATGATCGGGCGATGGACAACGGTGCTGCAGAGCATGGACTTTGACATTCGTCATCGGAAACACGAGAGACACGGGAATGCGGACGGACTGAAACGACTGCACCGGCCTGAGAAAGTTCCGAAAAGTGAGGAGGTGATTCCATGGAACGAACCCGAACAGGAGATCGGACCTCGGTACGGCCAAGTGGAGATCTTGTCGAAGCCGTAAGTGGCACGAGGACTAATTCTCTCCACAATTCAGTCCTATCTCTCCTCCTCTGTCATCATGACTACCCCGCTTACCTTCGCAACCCCTTCATCTCCTACTAATTCTGCCCCTCTCACGTCCTCAGCTTTCTTTGCCACCCTCCCCGATAAATTCTGTTATTTTTGCACGTGCATTGCACGGGTCTATAGGGTCGACTGTCATCCTTTCGAAACCGGGTTTGTCGACAGGGTAGAATGTGCCACGTGTGTCAATCGTGCGCACGAGGCCTGCGTTCGATATCGAACGAGTAGCAAGGAATGGAGGTGCCCCCTGTGTAGAACGAACTAACTCCCCACGGAGTTTCGATTCGAGGCCACCCGTACGGACGACCCTGAATACGACGAAAAATACCGACGAGCAGAGGTTTGGACGGATAAAATTTTATTTGCGAAATTAGAGGGATTATCATTGGGTCACCTCACCAAACACGACAGACGTAGGGCGACCGAGAGATCTCGGGACTATCGATGGGTCAACGGTCATTTGGAAAAACGTAAAACTGACAGATCGGGTTCGTGGTTGACGGTTCCCCATCCATTCCAGAGATATGATTGGATCCGATCTGCTCACGAAGAATAGGCCGCTCATTTCGCGATACGTGTCACAGAGGCAACTGTAGATCAGAACCGATGGTTCTGGTCCAATATACGAGATGATGTCAAATACATTGTCGCTAACTGTCTAGTCTGTGCAGCTGATCGCGCCCCTATACGGGGACCAAACACGATCGTACCAACGGAAGTAGAGCGTCCTTTCCAGCGGGTCAGTATGGACACGACTGATATCGACGTGCCACCTGGCCCAAATCGCTGTGAATATTCTATCATGTTAGTATTAATAGACCATTTTTCCAAATACATCGAAGTCTATCCCTATAAGACGCGAAAAGCCGCAGAAATAGCCACGTACATCGAACGGTTCCTCTATACCCATCTAGATACGAAAGATATTCTGACCGACAATGGGTCTGAATTCAAGGGTGAGGTAGAAGAACTGCTTGCGCGAAGGGGCGTCACGCTCCGACATACGGCACCCCACGTGTCCCAGTCGAACGGGTTGGCCGAAAATGCCAACCGTATGATTAAAACCGCCCTTCGCAGAAACTTAGCGGCACACGACACGCATCCTTGGCCTGAGATCGTATATCAGATCGTCGGGATCCACCGGGCCACCCCTCACGAGTCCACGGGGTTTACCCCTTTTCAGCTTCGAACTAATAGCCTCCCCTGTGTCAACTACCGGGGTAACTCGGAAATTGCCAAACCAGGGGGTAGAGACACGAGTACAGCTCTCAAGGCCAAGGCCAAAAGGTACACCGAATTAATGGAACGGGCCGTCCCGAAGCTAGCCCGAAAAAGGCAAAGGATGACCGAACTGGCCCACGGTAGACAGGTCCGTAGCTACGAGGCTCGGAACGGAAATGCTGGGCCCCAGCATCAATATAAATTAGGGGACCTCGTGCAGGTACGTAAATGTGCACGCGACCGGAAATTCACTCCCAAGTTTTCTGGCTGTTTTCGCGTTGTCGAGCTCGGACCCAACGACGCCAACACGGTGCGCATTGCGCTTGAGGCTAGTGTCAACCATAGCTCTGTCCCCATCGTCCGGCATACCTCCTACCTTCGTCTTCTTCCTCCTTCTGATCTTCCTCCCTCTTCTTCCTCGGAAAGCGAGGAGAACGACGACGATCTAACTCTCTCTCCTCTTTCTCCCTCTTGTCCTTCGTCCTCCTCTCCGACCTCGCCATGAGTTTCATCACGGAGCAGGTTCTTGACGTACAACTGTTGCAGCCACGTGGCCACATCTCAGAGATTCGGCAAGTTTGTCACCCTCGGCTCAATATGGATCTTCGGCGTTTGGCGCAATTTTTCTGCGACGTGGGTATCTGTGTCGCCGCCGCGTTTCGAATCGAAGGGAGTCCTCACGCAGTAGTATTTGCGGAGGTAATCGCAGTTCATTGGCGAGCGGCTCCCAGAACAAGCTACGTCACCACGGTCGCGGCGTTCAGCGGCGACATCAACTTGGTCAATCCGCAAAGGCATACCGCGATCTTGACTTCACTGCGCGAGTGGACGGAGCAGGTGTCCAACATGGGGCAGCACGTTCTCGCCCGGCCTGGGCACAATCTCATCCCGACCTTTGCTCCGGATCTTGGCGACATCCGTCGTTCTCCGCGCGAGCGGCCAGTTGTGATTCCCACCCTCGTCCCCTTCCCACATCCCCAATGAAGCACGCCAATCCTCTCGCTCCTCTCTCTATCTTTGGTCTCCCCTCTCTCTTCCCCACCTTCTGGCAATCCGATCTTCATCCTTCTCTTTCCTTCTCATTCGACCCTCTTTCAGTCCCTCTTATCAATCCTGGGCATTGACGGCTGTGGCGCGAAACTTTTGAGGAGCTGTCTTTTTGCTTGGCCAGAGTACAGGTGACGTGGACGCAGACCAGCGAGCATCCTGCGTGGATCGAAAATCCGGAGTTGCTGATCATCCAAGCTTGGAGGACTAACGTGGAGGGTGATCTTCTTGGCTTTCTCTTTGGATCAGTACAGCTGGGGCGCCGCCAACTGATTGCAAAGGAGCTCATCGCGCCGATCGTGCAATTGGCGGACGATCTCTCGCCCGACATCTATTCACAGAGTGACGACAATCCTGCGCCGCACGTTCTCGAGCGGTCATTGAATCCATATCTTCAGTGGACTGCGTGCTTGAAGGAGCCCAGGGATGAAGATACGCTGCGGTCGCGGCAGGAGTATTTGAAGCCGTACGATATCATCCCTCACGCCTTCTATCCGAGGGCAGAGGAAGTGCTGATCGACAACGACGACGAAGAGGAGGAAGACGAGGAAACATTGGAGGAGGGAAGCTATAGCGAATATAGCGAGGGTGAGCTGAGTGAAGCAGAAGAGGAGGAAGAAGAAACCGGATCTGAGTGGGAAGCCTTGCCGGAGGAAGCGACGCGCACGGGAACGGAGGCGGAAGATCCGGAAACGGCGCGAAGGCGCGAAGAAATTGCCACTGCGAAGTGCCAGCTGGAGTTCGCTTGCGAAGCCAACCTGCGCATCGGTAACGATCCGACCAGAGATCCAGAGCCGCCAAAGCCCGAAAATGGCGACCCTGCAGCCGCCACCTCAAGTACCGCGCGACGGAGACGGAGCCGATCCCCCTCCTCCTTCAGCCCCACCCGTCCCCCAGTTCGCCCACGTACCGATGCGGGCAATAGGCCTTCGTCCTCGGATGCTATCCCGCCGACCCCTTGATTTTCTCACCCTCGAACAGATCCGCAACCCCGTCACCTTCCCTCCCCATCCCTTCCTCCCCCATCTCTTCCGCGACTTCTACTCTACCCGCCTACTCGCTACCGTCTACCCCCACGCATCCCTTCAACCCGCTGCCCCCACGTTCTGCTGGCATATCCTGCTGTTCCGCGCTGCCTAGGAACGATGCAACGTGGTAGAAGTCTACTGCGTAGCCACGGGGACAACCCCCGCCTGTCGCCACTACGAGTTCTTTCCAGCGACGCTTTTCCGCACCCTCTCCTCCTTCTATCGTGACTACCTCGCTTCCCTCCCTCGCAGCGGCGATCACTTCCCCCACTTCCACCGGATCATCCGATATGAGGAGCTTCCGGTGACGATGGAAGGGATGAATCACTTCCTACCCCCACTTCCTCCCCGTCGTCCCCGTGAAATCCCCTCCATGTACCGCCTCTATTGGCCAATTTCAACTAGGAGGTAGATCCCAATCGGCAGGGGAAAAAGGCACGAATCAGTAAGCTTCGCGAAGATCCCGCCATCGACGATGACGTCAACTCACGCTCTGATTCGACGGACAACGATAAACTGGGGTGCAGAGCACACGGAGAACCGGCGGACGATGATGGCGTCACCTGGATGACCATCGAGTAGTCCAGCAGCACGAACCAACGGAAGATTGCAATTGAAGTTAGCGTCAACATGGACTCTGGACGGATCATTTGTTGATACGCTTGGTTCTTTATGCATCACTCTGTTCTCTCCCTCTCTCTCTCCTTCTCCGCCATGATATGCAATCAGGAGATCGCATAATTTTGGAACCCCCTGCGCATCACATATGTGACGAACCACTTTTCGAACCCGTGCTATCTTTCGTAACCCTTTTTGCTTGTATCATACCAACCCTATAAAAACCCCATTTCGTTTTCTTGATTTTGGGTACCGCGTTTTTGGCTCCCATCTTTCGGAAGCTTTTTCGACTCCCGGGTGCTTTTCCTTTCTGCAATTCGGGAAATACATAGGAAATTACGTGCGCCTTAGCGAGCGCACTGGGAATTGGGCTCGGCAGTTGGGAATTCCGGG